AAAGCAAATCAGTTAATAAAATCATTTCATTTCATTTTTTTTGTGTGTGTAAGGAACAGTCTGTATTTGCCCTGTTGTAAGGAAATCAAGGGTCATTAAAAGAAATGACTAGCTGTAAGTATTCCAAAGCATCTCAACATAACCATTGTCACTGTTGTTGGTCCCAAAATAAGTACGTAATCAATACTGTTTGAGAACAGTAAAAACCCACATAAAAGAACAAGTGGATTAAGAACACTCAGGCCGACATTTGGTCAAAAAAGTACCTTAGGCTGAGATGGATAAAGGGCGGTTATAGTTGCAGAGCTACACGTATTTGTAAGTATGACCTGTCATGAATAACATGGGAGTTTTTCAAGAGCTTTGGAATAACTTTCATTTCCTTACGACAGAGCAAATTCAGGGGCATCATCTGGTGCCTCTCTCTCTGAGGGGGAGCCATCCCTCCTCTCTATCATCATTGAGGCACTTCTTTGGGACCGTTTCCGGTTTGCTTTCCGGTCCAGCTTTACAAAAAAGTTGTTCAGTTCTTGGCTCCTCCAAGGAAGAGGCCTCCTACAGAGCACCTTTTGCTTGGGGACATTCTCATCCTCAGAGCTGTTTTCTCGATCATCTGCATTGTCTTCAGAGACAGAATGTTCCGAAGACATGTATTCTACATTCATACAATCTTTAAATCTTCTCTTCTCCTCATTCGAAATGGATGTCGATTGTACAAGTGCTTTTTGTCTCTTTAGTCGTTTCTGTAACAAACAAAAATTAATTATGAGTGAGACCATCAAAAGGCATTTACAACAATTTCAACAAAACTGAGCTGGCAGAAATTTAAAAAAAACTACCTAGACTGTAAATTTCACTGCACACTACATATGCTGGAATGTGCATATAAAACTAAAATCTAAAACTATCAACTGATTCCACTTTCCAATAGTAAATTCATTACTTTTAATGCAATCTTGGGAATACACTTGACCTGGCTTAACTGTAATGGCTTGAGAGTAACAAGGAACTTTTTTACACTGTATACAGTGATCGAAACCTGTATTAAGCGGACACCCTCGGGTAATTTTGTAGTGTCTGCTTAATACAGGGTGGCCGTCTAATACAGGTTTCAATAGAGATGTCAAATGCCATTTACGTGAACAGTGGAAAGGTTAAGAATACTCTCAGAGGCTTTGATGATATACGTTTGCATTAATTTCTTTATCAAAGTGGATCAGTTGATCATAATACCATAAACATAGACTGCAACTCAAATTTGAAGAAATCAGATGAGTGAAACAAGCTCTATACAAACAAAACGAAATAGAAAACAGTACTGTACTGCGAAACTAATCAAATATGTTCATCACATCACGTTTTTTAATGTAAAAATAGAAACATTTTGTGGGTGGCAATACGAGGCAATCTTCGCATTTTCGGTGTCTGCCATGTTGGGTGGTGGCATCTGATTACAAGTGTCCGTTTAATACACGTTGGTAACAATAGAAATGTCCATTTCAGGTACTCTTTAGGTGTCCGCGTCCGCTTAATAGAGGTGCCCACTTAATAAAGGTTTCATTTAAAGCAAATAAGGGAAATAAATTCTGGGACTTTAGCTTCTGTCCGCTTAATACAGGTTTCACTGTACTTACTGTATTCTTTCTGCTCCTGATTCGCTGCTCTTTCAGGACTTGTTTCTCCTTGTTGCCTTGTTTGATTTTTTTCTGCCTCTTCTTGGTCTTAAAGTGGGTCCTAATAGCAGCTGTCATTCAGGAAAACAGATATAAAAATTATTGACTGCTATCACCATAAGTAAAAAAATCATTTCTTAAAAGGACCAAGAAGTGTGGTGGATCTAGGGGGGGTTCGGGGGGTTCGAAACCCCTAAATTAAAATAGCCAACATCGGAAACTTGTAAAAATATAAAATAAATACAGTCAATCTTAAATGCAATGTATTCATAAGCAAGTTAAGCCTCTACTGCTCAATAAAGCTAAAACGTTTTCTCCATAAGAAACAAATACATTTTTGTTTCACTGACATTTTCCTTAACATTAACTGTTTGCTGCGAATTGCTTGCACTATACCAGTCACTTCAGCTGACAACAAGGGAGGAAAAGGTACAGCTTTGAAGCTTGTCAAAGGATACCACCATGACAACAGAAAGACTGTTAGGCTTGGCTATGATGAACATTCATTACGAAATGCCCATTGACTACAATGCTGTGGTTCAGTTTTTTGTGGAAAGATACCGAAGAATGCTTCTTGTTGATCCCATGTTCAATGAAACACAAAATTGAAAATAGTGAAATTAATGCAGTATATTTTTATCATAGTTTTACAAATGCAAATTTGCATAGTTGTTTCACTGCTTTCAGTGATATTTTGATGCAAAAAGAATGGCATTTTCACTTTAAAAAATGAGATATTAAAACAAGCTGACTTCGATCGCCTCAGAATGGCAGAAATCATGTTTCTCAGTGAGGACTTGAAATTTCCAAATTTTTGGGGGAGGATGCCCGCAGACCCCCCTACAAGGTGGCTGCCTTGCCTTTTCATTGAACCCCTTGCGCTAAAATCCTGGATCCACCCCAGAAGACTCAAGGTTCAAGTTGGACAAAGATTCCTGTAATTTTCCACCATATTAATACATATGATCTACTGTAATTATTACATTCTACAGAGCCAAATCTGAGAAATTACAGTGCAGGAATACACTTACCCCTTATGAGCGATACTGGTGCAGAAGTGTCTGTGCTTCGCACTCCATCTACAATAGCTGCATGCACAACCTGGTTATCTCTGTGATTAAAGCTAAATTTGATGGCAAAAATTGTGTGAGAACTGAGTGGCTAAGCAAAGTATTTTTCTGGAAAGAGGGTTCTTTTTGTGCGCAAGATCCCAAATTAAGGTAATCCCATATTATTTTGATACTGAAGGGGTGCATATGAGAAAGACTTGTGACTCCTAATAAATTAAGAGTTTGTATACAATACATGGTAGCTTTTCTTTTAAAAATAGCGATAGAAGTTTGCTTTTTGGTAAAAACCATTGTATTTTTCTTTTAATACCGGTTATGAGCTCCAACAACTAAAAAGCTCAAAACAAACACTGCATAACTTAAGCATCTCAATTAGTGACCTGGCAACCTGATATAAAAAAATAACAACAGAAATAAAAATGATAAACTTACTCTTGTGAAAGATCCCATTTAACATCTTCCCCATCCTCATTGGTCAGTGAACAATAGATGTCCCTCACATGAGCCTTATAAAGGATGAATTAACAAGGAAACAGTCAGGGAAACAGATAGAACAATAAGCTAATAACCAATAAAGCAAGCAAACTGTATCAGAAACAGAAAGCGAAACCAAACTTTCAGGCAGCAAAATACTAGAAAGTAGAACTATTAATCCTTCGTACCAGTAACTTTGAACGTTTTACACTTGGCCCCCATCTCAAGCCCTTGCTGACTCGAACCTCACACTAACTTGAATCAAATTGATTTCCCCTGGATTTCCTTCCTATATTTACTGTAATTCTCGATAACTTGAAATTCAGCAGTCAGCAAGCAAGATGCTTTTTAAACAACTTTGATATCTAGTTACTTTTCCGCATGGCCCAGCCACTTGGCACGATTAGCTTTTGCTATTTCTTAGTGGCTGTGCTCTCTTTTTTCACAATTATTTCCTGTCATGTTCTATTTATTACATAAACACCAATGAAATGCCAAACCATTTTCCTTAAATGGTTTTTGGGTCTGAAAGGTGCGATTTATTATGAAGCCATAGCAATGGTAATATTTTCACACGTGAAGATAACATGTTATTTTCTCATGCGAAGATATCAAGTTTTCGCGCAAAAACTCACTTGGTATTTCATTCTTGTTTATAATAATAAAGTTGATTATCATTATTATTATTATAACAAAAACATTTAACAAAATTGAAAATATTATGAATGCTGGGTTCTTTTTAAAATTTGCAAAAAAATTAATTCCCAGTGGGAAAAAACAATGTTTTCTAATCGCAAAAATTAGTTCCCGCAAAACACTAAAAACCGCCAATCCGCAAAAATAAACTCCCGCCAAAAATTTTCGTCCCTAGGGGGAGGGAGTCAAATTTTCTATGAATGATACCAGTGGCGCGACAATAAATCCATGGATGATAAGACTTAAATCCAACACGATTTTTATTTTTATTTTTGTGCTTGCTCGATGGAACAGGGCATACGCTAGGTCAAACATGTTGGCAGACAGCCATTAAGCCCAGGAAGCTTTACATGAATGGCTAATATTGTTCACTTACCGATAATTCCTTTGTAGGACGCTGAACTTGTTTAGATCTTTTCCCCGCGGTTTGATGTTTTAACTCTTCCAGTCGTTGCTCCAGTTGTTTATTAAACTCCCCTTGGGTGGCGAAGAACTGTTTTATCTGCTCCATACATGTGAGAGCGGCTGGGGAGTTTATACTACTGGCACTAGCAATTGCTTCTTGACGGTTTACTGGGGTTAAATCCAATGGCGCCAAGATCTGATCAGATCTTGTCGGAGTCGACGTGGCTGGTCTGGTCGGTATCAGTGGCCGGGCGACTGGCCGGGCCGGTTGCGGAGTACGAGATTGTTCGACCGTTCCAGCGCCCTCCACAGGCGAGTTGTTTTCTGGGCGTCTTGAAGCAGTAACTGAACTACTGCTGGCGGACTGCTCCGGGCTTCCATTTCCAACAGGCGACGAAGCAGGACCTTGCTTTTTTTTCGGCCTAGACTGGGTAGTGTAAAGGACATGCTTTGAATTGGAGGGCTTTTGCCTAGCCATAGTAGCCACAAAGGAGAAATCAGAAGGTTACAATGACAAAAAATATCGAAAAAATATGGCGAGTAGTACCAAGCTTGATGAAACCCTTCGTTCAAAGTAATCGCGCCTAAAATTCAAACGTCTTTCATGCACAAGAATCTAGTAAATTTTTAACCACTACGAAACGTATACGACGTTCCATTGGTCCTCCACAGCATAGGCGGGAAATGGATCCAAAGGGCAAAAATCACGAGGTCGGCCAGCGAAATCTTCGGACAACGAACGGTCACGTATCCGAGACGAACGCGCCACGTGATCCGATTACACATTTGCCGAGGTTAGCCGACCCAGAAACTACCGTGTTTGCCTGTTTCCTTTTAACTAACAGCAGTCGGTGAACTGTAACTTTAAGACGTGATAATACTTCTACGTGTTTTGTCTACCTAGACTTCTTCAGGTAATTTTACATTCAAACACAAAACGTGTGTAATTTTAATAAAGCCGTCGCTGGTGACTAGCGAAGGTGTGAAATGTTTCATGAGGCGTGAGAAGATTTTTGGGCCAAAATAAGCTTAAACCAGAGCTTAAGCTTAAATATCTCATATCGGTAAGCTTTCCGTAAAACTCCATACATTTATTCTGCAAACTTGTTTTTACTCTATTCAAATTCAACTATTTGAAGGAAAAAAGTATGAAATTGTCGCATGCATAATAACCTACTTTTAAACTTTCTCACACCTAGCGTTGGGCCAGAATATTCGCAGCTACGTAAATCCGGTCAAACCTTTCATGTTTTCGAACATTTTTATTTATGCAGCTTTGTCATCAGCTAGCTGTTTGACGTAAACACAAGATCTACACAGCTACTGTTCGGAGAGTGCTGCTCTTACCAGTTGTTTATTACAAGCTTAAATGTCTTAAATGTCGTCCAATAAAAGGAAATTCTGCGAACATTGTCAAGACTATGTGTCATCTAGGACATACAGGCAGCATTTGGATCTTTACTTCAACAAAGAAAGCGGTCAGTGGTACAGACACGAATCCTCAGATGAAGAAAGTGGTCACATTTCGAATTCTGTTTCGGACCTTGATGGGAATGACACTGCTTCAGAGACAGAGGGTTGTCCAAATGTAACACCACTTGACACGGAGAATTTTGATGAAAACGGAGTACCCGAAGCAGGTATTTAATTTTTTTTAAATTTTTCCTGCTGTTAGATTTAGGGCCTCAGGTTTGTCACTAAGATTTCAAGTTTCCGGGTAAATACAAAATGTTTACATACTCTCATGCAAACACTCCCCTCGGTCAATAAGAGCACGCATACTATCTTAGTTATTTTATAAAAGGGAGTAACCCCCCCCCTGTGGAAGGTCACCCCACCTATCATGAATGTAAATGTGGTCAAATTTAAAATGAGAGATTATATTGACGCGTGGGTTACGTCCCCTAACTGGGGTCCCCCACCTCCATGTAAACAGGTCCTTCTAACTGCCCCTGCTCTGTATGTTGTCAGGGTTAGGGTTAGACTGTGATCCTAAATTTAGTTGCTTTGATGGCATGCCCTCTCTGAAAATTAGCCTACTTGTAATCTCTGATTACCTATCACTTGCTTATAAGTACACACTGTATCCCGTTCTCACACAATGATGTTATATTAATTAACAGCTTGTGATGGTGTCTCGATCAACAATCTTGAGGAAGAAGATTATCATCTAATTCATGATCTGGATGACAGTGACTCAGAGAATGACTTTATTTATCATGAAAGGATGCCACAAGACATACTTAGAGAAGTATGGGACGTTGTTGGTGAGGATGTTGAAACAGACTTCCCCCAAGACCAAGGTCAACTTCCCTCAGTGGATGTTAACGGAAGATCAATAGCAAGTAGAAATTTGAAGGATATTGTTCATTGGCTCCTGATTTTTCTATGTCTTTGGTCATCATTTTGCACATTATCTGATAATGCACTGGAAATCCTGCTTTCTTTTTTGAGGGCAGTATTTGATTCTCTTACTACTCTATTCCCAGTTGTTGGAAGTTTTGCCATCCTGTTCCCTAGGTCGGTGCATTTGCTGCGGAAGCAACTTGGATTAGACAAGGACAGGTTTACAAAATATGTTGTGTGCCCAAAATGCCATAGTCTGTATGTTTTTGAAGACTGCTATGAAGTTCTTCGTGGGAAGAGAATTACAAAAAAATGCAGCTTTGTCCAGTTTCCAAACCACCGCCAACACTTCCGCCGTACAAAGTGTGATGAGCCACTTTTGAAAGAAGTTTCATTAAAGTCTGGTGAAACTAAGCTGTACCCACGAAAAGTGTACTGTTACAACAGCGTCATTGCCAATCTCCGCGATTTCCTGCAAAGGCCTGGTTTTGTTGAGAAATGTGAATTATGGAGGAGTAGGGACATGCCTAATGGATTTCTTGCCGACATTTTTGATGGAAGAATATGGAAGGAGTGGCAGTATGTTGATGGACAACCATATTTAGCATCACCCAGGAACTATGCTTTTATGCTTAATGTGGACTGGTTTCAGCCCTTCAAACATTCTCTGTATAGTGTAGGAGCACTTTATATGGTCTCGATGAACCTTCCTAGAAGTGAAAGGTTTAAACCTGAGAATGTTTTTCTTGTTGGTGTTATCCCAGGACCCCATGAACCTAAGCTTAATATAAATTCATACTTGCAACCCCTAGTTGCTGAACTTAATGTCCTGTGGAAGGGTGGCATTAGTGTTGAAAGTCACAGTTGCATTGAAAATGAAAAATTTCATGCTGCTCTACTTTGTGTTGGCTGTGATGTTCCAGCAGCAAGAAAGGTTTGTGGATTTACTGGCCATGGCTCCAATAAAGGCTGTTCAAAGTGTAAAAAATTTTTCCCAGGGTCGGTTGGTACTAAAATTGATTTTTCTGGATTTGAGCCATGTCATCCAAGGAGCAACATTGAACATCGACAGGAAGCACAGGAGATTTTAAACCAAACATCTGCTGGTGATTGTTCAAACCTAGAGCAGCATTATGGAACAAGGTATACAGAATTGATGTTGTTACCTTATTTTGACTGTGTTCGCTTCCATGTTATTGATCCCATGCACAACTTATTTACTGGGACAGCAAAGCATGTTATGAAGAATGTTTGGTTAGATGTGGAAAAGCCAGTTCTTGACAAGAAGGACTTAGAGAAAGTCCAAGATAAGATGGACAAGCTGAAAGTTCCAGCCAGTGTGGGGAGGATGCCCAAAAAAATTGAGAACAGTTATGGAGGCTTTACAGCAGACCAGTGGAAGTCGTTTACTGTTCTATTCTCCATATACGCCTTGTGGGATATATTACCAAGGAATGACTTAGAACTTTGGAGAGATTTTGTGATGGCTTGTTCTTACCTTTGTTGTCCAGTTATCACAGAAATGAAGGCACTTTTAGCTCACTCGTATCTTTTAAAGTTTTGTAAGAATTTTGAACAGCTCTATGGGAAGCACAGAGTTACACCGAATATGCATCTGCATTCTCATCTTGTAGATTGTGTCTTGGATTATGGACCTGTTTATTCATTTTGGCTGTTCAGCTTTGAACGCTATAATGGTATTCTTGGTGAGTTTGGAACAAATCAACGTGCAGTTGAAATTCAATTAATGCGAAAGTTCACTTCAAGTCAATATGTGAATGATTTACACTGGCCAGTTGCATTCCAAAGTGTATTCAAACCTTTGCTTACCAGACTTGTCTCAAAACAATCTGGAAGTCTCCATGAGCAGTCATTATCAGAGCACGACCATTTGTCTCGAGATGTTATTCAGTGTAGTCTTCTGTCTATAGGTCCTGTACGAACAAGTGGGGAGATTGCCAACAGTGTCCTCATGTACACATGCTGTGGGCCCTGCTCAAGAGATACCATTGACCCAGATGTTCTTTCCCATCTAAAGAAGTGCTATAAAACAATTTTTGATAAGCTAGATGAAAATTCTGTTACGTGTCACTTTCAAAGATATGCTTGTTGCAAATTTAATGGGGATCTCTTTGGCTCACAAATGTCAAGAGGAGATCGATCAGCATTTGTTTTGGCAAGGTGGTGTAAACTTGGTGGAGTAATTGACACCTCTGGATCGGATTTGAGGCCAGGAGTCATTGATTACTTTATAAAACAGAATGTGTCTGTCAATGGTCACTATGAGACCTGTATTTTAGCTGCAGTGCATTGGTTTCAAGAACATCCCTCAAGACACTCCCTGGGAGCTCCAGTCGAGGTCTGGTGTAAAGACCTCTTTGAACGTGAAGGGGATGCCACCTTTATACCAGTACAGAGAATCCATGGAAAGTTTATTCCAGCAATAGATCTTATCAATGGTGAGCATGTTCTTGTAGTGTGCCCTCTTGCCCGCAAACTGCAATGTTGACATTGATGATCGTCAAATTTCCTCCTCCATTGTACCCTGCGAGCAGAGTTTACATTTTCATTGTGTGAGCTGCCGTCCGAAAAGTAGCCTCTGCCGACAACTGTTCAAATCTGTCCAGAAATCTGGGCGAATAACAAAATTATTTAAAAAATGGGTTTTTTCCTGTTCTTAACCAGTTTAATTAGAGCACTGCATGAGTCTTGCGTAGCCAATCAGAGTTGTTGCAATTTTTTTTTTCCTGCAAAACTAATGCCATTGACAACAGACCATGATGTTAATTTTGCTTGCGAATCGCGTGATGAATTTCGCGCATGCAAGATAGAAGATTGAGCAGTTGTTGGCAGAGGCTACTTTTTCCATGCCAGCTCACACAGCAAAAATGTAGCCTCTGCTCTCAGGGTACCTCCATTGTATATGTAAAATATAAACTTGTAAGTATTTAATATTTCCAAAATTTTCCTTTTAATGCGTGGTTTAGAACAAATACATGTACGGACTGAGTGAACCTCGTTAAAATGGACAATAGGGGGAGCGACATGCAATAATTTTTACACCTGTACATTACCCACATTATCCAGTTGCTCTCGGTGTGGACATTACGTTTTGTAGATGTAAAGACTAAAACAGTCTTTGCATGCAAAGTTGTGTACAGTAATTTGTTATTTTTAACTTTATCTTGTGTGTCTATAGAGCTGGGTTCCATGTTTGTAAAAGGTACAACGAAGTGTATGATGCAATTATCTCAGAAATAAAATACTTGGAGCTAAGTGTATTAAATCATGTAGGTAATTGCAAGGCTCAAGATAAATATGGGCTGTTTCAGGTGATGTTGACTGGCTCAACGCGGAGCCCGGTCCCAGGCTATGTAATTAAAAAAGCCTAGAGATGCTCCTTTAAATTCATGATTTCAAAATATATTTATTATTGTGGCTGTTCATTCATACATTTGGTCACAATTATGGGCAAGCGTAGAGTTTGTCTGGACAAAATTTTCATTTTAGCTGGACCTTGTCTGTTTACTGTCCAATATTTGAGCCTTCTGCAAACTGTATATTAAGTAAGTTAGTTCACAAGTAAGGTAGCAAAAATTCCAGTGCTTCTTTCTGCGTGAAAGATAAACAATAATGAAGGAAAGTCTGATGTTGACAACTATGTACAGTATCGAGACTATAAACAGGCAGTTCCTTTGGTGAAAATTATGGCTTTTAAATATAACTGTATTTTAAATTTGTTTTCCAGTATTAATTTACTCACCACAACAGTTTTACCAGTAAGTAAATTTATTTGGTGGAACAGAACTATGCCTGTAACTGTAAATTGGCCTAATATTAAACAATTATTGGATGAGGTTGAGCATGATATCATGAATTATCAAAACCGAGGTCTGTGTTATCTGCCGAAGCCGAAGGCTGAGGCAGATAATACAGACACGAGGTTTTGATAATTCATGATATCATGCGAAAACCGAATTCAATAATTGTTTTATTATACATTTTTTAAACAACAGGCAAAAGAAGACATTCATCTGTTGAAAAATGGCTTTATTTCAAAACTAAGGTGAAAGTGACACTGATAAGCTTAACCAAGATCATTTAGAAATTTTAAAATACAATAATAAAACCTTTGTCTGAATAAAGTATACATTAAAATAGAAAACTCCTTAACAGAAAATCTCTAGAAACATTCATTGAAAGTCTCTGTTCAGCCATTCTGTTTCTGAGGAGAACACTCCAAGGGGCTTGGTAACCAGGCAGACGTTCAACTTGACATGATAAATGCAATATCTGCAGCAGATATTGCATTTATCATGTCATGTTTACAAGCTATTGTGAATTGATTGAATGCTCTCGACCAATCAGATTTTTCATAGTGAGTCTGATGTATAATAATATTGTTTCTCTCACTAAAATCCCCAACTTGAGGTTATCATTGGTCTGATATTATTAATGATGTGGTTTATGTTTAATGCTCTAGGTTAGGGTTAGGGTCAAGCACCCATTTTGTGTCAACTCAAAGAACTGCCCTGGTATTTATTTCTAGCATTTATGGCAAGTCTAGGGTTAATTAATTGTGTTAATGTAAATTTTGGTGAACTAAAATTAAAATGATGTCTAAATATCCTGTATTCCTTTGGTCTTGTTGTGTATTGATCTAACATTGTGGCTGATGTTTTGTAACTGTTAGTCTCTTCAGTAGGCAAAAGTTTCGCTTTTTATCTATGTCCTTTTAAATTCTGTTAAAAAGTGCAATGTTTTGGCAGTTCAAAGGTCGCACTTTGATGTGGGCACATTATGTCCCATATACTACGTACCAATCTCACTTTGGCGCAGTTTTGTTACATTTCGGCGGGAATTTGTGGTCGTGTTTCGGTCATGGAAGACGAACAAAAGAAACGAGCCCCGTTTAAATGGAGAGAGAATACCGCTACCGAGCGTCGTCGCATGAGAAATCAAAGGACGAAAAGGAAACGACTTCAGAGAAGAAAAGAAAATGATAAATGTAAGTTTAAGGCAAACGCTGTCATCTAGGGTCTCACCGACCGATTGCGGGTCGAAACTAAGCAACGCGAACGACTGCTTTTTCTTGCGCGGAAATATTATTTAAAGTGGAAGGAAAACAAAGACTTGTTGTTCAGAAAGAATGGCGGAAACCTACCAAGCGCCTCCAGATTTGGAACGCGGACAAAGGTAAGCAACATAATATTAATGTGGGCGGACTAAGCGAGCGATTCAACTCGCACATGTACTTTTCCCAATTGTCCCCTAAATGGAGAGCTTGCTTGTGCCCGTAGCCAGGTTTTTTTCCTTGGCGGGGTGGTACGATCCAATGAGGAAACGAATCGAACGAGGCCGAAGACGCTATTGGGTGTGTGTGTGTGTGTTGACCTTTACAAAATGAAGGCACAGATGAAAATACATAATTTAAAAAAAAATAGTCCACGTTTTGTTCAGACAGATTCAAAATGTAACACAGCGTTTTATGGACTCTGCAGCATGAGAGACATGCGTACTAGTACTTTGGGATGACAAATTTACTGTATGGTTATCATCTTAACTGTACCCTAGATACTTATTCAACACAGCAATATATTCCATATCACATATGCCGTGTAGTAGTTTTCTGTGCTGATCACTAGTGCCCGTATCAAATTAAGGACCTATTTAAGAACCCAAGTAGCCTAAGTTAAAAAAATCTAGGTTCTTAGTGGTGCCCCATGCACGCGCTTTGTGTGCAAGCGGAGCCCCATAGCTAAGAAAATTTGGTAATCTATCCATCTGAGAAAATCTGGTTTTGAAGTCAGCGATGACCTCCCGTCTGTACAGATACTGGGGGAGGGGGAAGAGAGTTAGAAGTCAGCCCGTCCGAAGTCAGAAGTAAACCCATAATAAGAAAAAAAGTGTGCTGCATGCGCAAAGTTGTTTTTTTTTTTTAATAATTAGACTTATTGTTGTTGTTTTTTACCGTTCACCTTGTCTTTAGTATTACTGGCACTCTATTTTATATTTCTTTGAGAAAACTGTAAATATTAAAGGGAGCTAAGCTTTTAGCCCTGGCTAAATCTATATATTATATGAGGGTTTTTACTGTATTTGAAACGGGTACAGTAAATGTCTTGGAGGCATACCAAATCCCCTTTTTATACGTATACTCAAAGACTGAAACATTTTTTTGGAAAGCGTGAGTCAGTGAATCAATCAATTAGTGAATTAGAAATCATTGATCAACAAAAAGTGGATGTCTGGGGCTTGATGGGTGTACAAGCACACCCGTCACACCCCCTTCCCTACAGGATTGCTGCTGCAGAAATGTAGTTGAACTTTCTCTCTTTGTTTGAAATATGTCTTATGGTAAAACAAACTTACCTTATTAAACATAATATGATTGAAGCTGCAGTTAATATCAATGTAAGGGGTTTTAACATACCGTATAAGTATTATTCGATTAACTGCCCTGGGCGCTTATTAAATTTTTGGACCTTGAGAGTGGGCGCTTATTCGAGGCTGGGCGCTTATTAAATTTTCACCAATCTCAGCAAGTGTAGTAGTATATTTTGCAACAAAACAGTAAATGCTAATAACAAAAAGCGAAGATGTAACAAAGCAAGGTCTCTGTACAATACCCTGAAGAAAACTCTGCCTTCGGGAGGGTCTCTTATTATCTTTTATTGGAGTTTTTGTGGGAGGGAGTGGGGTGGGGTGGGCGCTTATTCGAGGCTGGGCGCTTATTAACTTTTTCTGCCTTTAGGATGGGAGCTTATTCGAGGTGGGCGCTAATTCGAGGTTGGGCGCTTATTCGAATAAATACGGTAGTTAGGTGAAAAAAATCTAGCCTGCAAGCAAACAGGATGATATGAAATCTTACTTATTTTATTAATTTTATTTTAAACAATATTTATTCAGGGATGCCCAGTTCAGTGAGGCTGGTATGAATGTATTCCTGATGAAAAGAAAAAACAACTCAAACGACACTTACAGATAAAAAATGGAACAACTAAGTATAGCAAAAGTATTGGAGGCTCAATTTGGCTTGGATCTAAAGGGCCTTTTTAGGCCAAACCCAAACGTATTTAAATCATGCTGCTCCTCAGGGGCAGAGAAAGCGTGTTCCAGATATTGGCTCGATCTGCTTAACCTAAAGGAGCCCTGGTGCTTAGTTATCATAGCTAGTGGCAGACAGAGGCAATCTCTAATGGCGTGTGTTATATGAATGGAAGTGGCACGTGTGGCTAAATTCATTCAAAAAAGAGATACTCCATGAAAATACAACCTTTCTACCTTCAAATTACTGTAGTCATACTTTTTGAGATATAATACTCACCACCCCTACCCCTCCATTCAAAGTTTTTCTTTCAAGTTTTGATCATGATCTTGTGCTATTAACTTTGATGAGGGGAGAAGGGGGGTGGTTACAAGCACAAAATCATATGCAGTCTAGTCGAGCCAAAATTAAGTACAGCGCTGTCTCGAGTATTTCTGCAACTGGTTGAACCTTTTTTCAGTTTTTTTGTCAGGCTAAATGAGATACTTACCATGATTAGTAGAATTTTCCTGGTATAGAGGAAGTCCATCTGTTACCTAAACAATGCTATTATTGACTTGTAGTCAACATTTCTCCCAGGGTATGAAAGGGTATTGCTGGGATCCAGGGACTAAAATACAATGCAGGATTCTAGAAACAGTCAGGATATGATCGTTGACTTCTTCTGCAAAGTGGGATTCTCCAAAATAAAGTGGGGATTAGGAAAGTAAACATGCAATATTCAAGATAGTGATCACAACATTTCAGGATGTGGGTTTCCAATTAAACAAGAGGCAAATAATTGACCTCAAACCCCATGTTGTTTGAAAAGCTGTCGAAAACCTTAGACCTGGGTAGCATCTTATTGCAGCCCTGGAGGTTAACTGTCAAGGACCTCATTTACTGTTGAACTGTACAAATTGCTAAGAAACTTGCTTTTTACATTTTTCAGGAATCCTCCTTGGGCACCCATATGGCCTGGAAGCAACAGAGGAGCTTGGCTTTTTAAGGCTGTGACTCTGTGAGAAGGAATGTTTCTCCATGTGCTTTATAGTAATCAATTTGTGAGTAATGATTTAAATTGGAATTTTGCTCAAGTCAGTTAGTTTTTAGGTTCTGGCTCTGCGAGAACTTTTAATTATTCTCTGGGCCCTCAATGGGAACTAAAAAGCAGCTTTTAGAGATTTTGTTTGAACCCCTGTCAGCAATAGGTAAAACAATTTGACCTTCAACCTGATGCAACGGAGCAGCTTAGCCTTTTTGGGCTGTGGTTCTGTGAGAATCTTATTCATTCAAAGATTATTTGAGCCCCTGTCAGCATTTAAGAAAAACAATTTGGCCTTCCTGATGCAACAGAGCAGCTTAGCCTTTTTAGGCTGTGGCTCTGTGAGAATTTTATTCTCCAGGTGTCTCAGGGGAAACTGAAAATGAGCTTTTACAATTTATTTGAACCCGTGTCAGAATTAAGAGAAACAATTTGGCCTTCCTGATGCAACAGGGCAGCTTAGCCTTTTTAGGCTGTGGCTCTGTGAGAATTTTATTCTCCAGGTGTCTCAGGGGAAACTAAAAATGAGCTTTTCTAGATTATTTGAACCCGTGTCGGAATTAAGATTGAAAAACAATTTGGCCTTCCTGATGCAACAGAGCAGCTTAGCCTTTTTAGGCTGTGGCTCTGTGAGAATTTTATTCTCCAGGTGTCTCAGGGGAAACTAAAAATGAGCTTTTCTAGATTATTTGAACCCGTGTCGGAATTAAGATTGAAAAACAATTTGGCCTTCCTGATGCAACAGAGCAGCTTAGCCTTTTTAGGCTGTGGCTCTGTGAGAATTTTATTCTCCAGGTGTCTCAGGGGAAACTAAAAATGATCTTTTATAGATTATTTGAACCCGTGTCAGAATTAAGGAAAACAATTTGGCCTTCCTGATGCAACAGAGTAGCTTAGCCTTTTTACTAGGCTGTGGCTCTTTGAGAATTTTATTCTCCAGGTGTCTCAGGGGAAACTAAAAATGAGCTTTTATTTATTTGAACCCCTGTCAGAATTAAGAAAAACAATTTGGCCTTCCTGATGCAACAGAGCAGCTTAGCCTTTTTAGGCTGTGGCTCTGTGAGTATTTTATTCTCCAGGTGTCTCAGGGGAAACTAAAAATGATCTTTTATAGATTATTTGAACCCGTGTCTGAATTAAGAAAAACAATTTGGCCTTCCTGATGCAACAGAGCAGCTTAGCCTTTTTACTAGGCTGTGGCTCTTTGAGAATTTTATTCTCCAGGTGTCTCAGGGGAAACTAAAAATGAGCTTTTCTAGATTATTTGAACCCGTGTCGGAATTAAGATTGAAAAACAATTTGGCCTTCCTGATGCAACAGAGCAGCTTAGCCTTTTTAGGCTGTGGCTCTGTGAGAATTTTATTCTCCAGGTGTCTCAGGGGAAACTAAAAATGATCTTTTATAGATTATTTGAACCCGTGTCAGAATTAAGGAAAACAATTTGGCCTTCCTGATGCAACAGAGTAGCTTAGCCTTTTTACTAGGCTGTGGCTCTTTGAGAATTTTATTCTCCAGGTGTCTCAGGGGAAACTAAAAATGAGCTTTTATTTATTTGAACCCCTGTCAGAATTAAGAAAAACAATTTGGCCTTCCTGATGCAACAGAGCAGCTTAGCCTTTTTAGGCTGTGGCTCTGTGAGTATTTTATTCTCCAGGTGTCTCAGGGGAAACTAAAAATGATCTTTTATAGATTATTTGAACCCGTGTCAGAATTAAGAAAAACAATTTGGCCTTCCTGATGCAACAGAGCAGCTTAGCCTTTTTACTAGGCTGTGGCTCTTTGAGAATTTTATTCTCCAGGTGTCTCAGGGGAAACTAAAAATGAGCTTTTCTAGATTATTTGAACCCGTGTCGGAATTAAGATTGAAAAACAATTTGGCCTTCCTGATGCAACAGAGCAGCTTAGCCTTTTTAGGCTGTGGCTCTTTGAGAATTTTATTGTTTGGGTGTTCCAGAGAGTATAAAATACCAGTAGCCATTGCAATACATGGTGAGGCTTAAAAATGTCAACATCATTTTATTTGTGTCGAATCGCTGATGACTTCTTTTTTGTATATTTCTTATTTACAGTGCTTGGTCGTATCAACAAAAGTTATTAACAATTATACTGACGCTTCCTGAACATTTTTTATAATTACTTTAAAAAGGAACTGTCTCTGAATCTGAGATATTTTCTCAGGGTTTTTCTTGAACTGAGATAACTAATATTTAACTTTGTGACAAAATCAATACCTTCGTTTGTATCCTGATCAACAGGTCAATTTCTTTTAATTAAGCCTTTTATTTGCATTTAAAGTGGGATCAAGCAAACGAAGACTTTTCTATGAACACAACTACAAGAATGATTGTTATATATATTCCATGTACATAAATCAATTATATTTCTTGTTTTCTCCTTTGTGGAACTTTGTTTGGGTGTAACCAATTTGCTTGTAATACCATAAAACAAAACTTCAGGGAATTGTACAGAGGACAATGGAAAAATAATGTTAACACGCACTGTTCAAGTGTAAGTAAAGTGAAAATAGCAAAACTTTGATTTGAACTTGCTTAAGACTTTTGAACTTGTATAATCATTTGTTTCACTGGTTGACAGTTCGCAGGTCTCGAAAAGTTAGAATTAGGCACCATTAGAAATAATCGGAGGGGTGCAAGCAATAATTTGTTAACAGGGGTGCAATAGTTTTCACTTGTTCGCATGCCTTTTTTTCTTCTTGCGTTTCCGGCTCATTTTTAAGGCATGACCGCTTGCAGAATTTTTCTCCATAAGATTTTCCTTAACAGGATTCATTTAGAAAGGAAAAATCACCCCTTCCTGGTTACTTCTGATGATCTCTTTCTTAGCACGAGGAATTTTCCCCATGCTGCAAGCGTTTTGAGCGTAAACTTGTTTCTAGTTTAGAACTTTGAACGCCCAAAAGAAAAAGAAAAACAAAAAACGACTTATTGTTTTAATAAACTTTTTGTTGTCTTCTTTTCAACATGGTTAACCTAAGAACGTTCATTTTATCATATGCAATGTAACTATAGCATAAAAAGTGTCAAAGGTGGACCTTGCCAACATAGACTCTTAAAGTGAGAATGCCATTGTCTGAGGAGTCAAAAATAGGACTATGGAGTCAGTTCACATTCCCTGGTTGCTCTTCCTTCTCCATCCCCACAAATGATTTCTGACCTTAGAGATGCTTGTTGGTGGACTCGCTTCTTTTTAGCAGCCTCAAGGGCCGCGCGACCAGAAAGCTGGGAGGGGGCGCCGTCGATTTCTTTGGACCCACTGAACGATTTTCTTACATGCAAATCCACAGATTCTTGCTCGGACAGAGCTCTTTTCAGGTCACTCATGTCGAACGTTTTGAAGGACATGCGTAACGCCTTTTCTCTCCAGAGTGGTGGTTTTAAGTGCCTGCATTTTTTTACCGCATTAAGCCTGGCGCTTCCAATCTTCTTTAAAAAGTGACCAAAAAATTCGACCTTGACACTAGTATGGGTGAAGTGGCACCATCTTGCTGAAATGACATTAAAACATACAGTAGATTAAAAGTATGAACATCTCCAACAACTTGTGAACTTATATAATCCTTGACCTGTTTTTATTGTTTATAGGACGATGGGATGTATAACATCTCAAGGTAAACAAAGTGAGCTGCTCAAGCAGAGATGAGTCGAAGGGAAACGTTCATTAAGCGGGTAAATCCCGCTTATCGTTTTCTTTTTTGGTTGTATATATAACGGGTATTTACTCGCGCACGTCGGAAAACACTCGTACGCGACACGCGAGGAAAAGAGTAAGGAAACTTGTGCACGTGGCTTTTCCCCCTGTAGCTTGGGCGCAGGTTAAGTGGTGGGGCTGAGGGAAAATCATCATTCTATACTAACCTGGAACACTGGGATTGTGCGCAGAGTTAATGCACTCTACAATTTCTGCCAGCCACGCACGTATTGCTTTCTATTCTTCAGAAGTCGAGGTATTACTGTTGGAGCTTCCTTCTTTCCAAAAGAAAACGTAGTGTGTTCGGGAACCTCATATCCCGGGTTTTTTTTGCTGAAATGCGTTGCTAGTGCTTTTCTCGTCCGAAACTATTCTCGCAGCGAGGATATTTAATAACATAAATGTCAGCCATGATCACGCTTAACTAAAATCAAAGTCCCACTTCAAACCACCAAACAATACAATACCTTGTTATGCTACAGCAGAAAAACTGCTATTGTTCTCCCTTATTGTTCTCATGATGACACGGTTTGCTTGATAGCATCGACATCTTAAGACATGTAATGTGTTTTGATATATTCGTCAAAGACCTTGACTGAGTTGAAAATACTTATTCTCATTAGTATACGGCATTTCCGGCGGAAACTTGCGGAAGACTTGAATGTGTTTCATTGGCGAAAACTTAAGAAAGTAGTGTTCATTTGGTGATTTTCCATTCACTGATTCGAGCTTTTTCTGTTGTGGTCGTAAGTAAGAAAAAGTAAGATCAGTATTTTGTCAATCATGAACGAGGAGATGCGGCGCGTATTTAAGGCTAAGCGAAAAAGGCAGAAGAAAAGACGCAAGGAAAGGAAAAAAGAAGAGGCAAGACAGGCCAGGGCTGCCGACAGAGAGGGAAGGATTCAGCAACAGGCGGAACGTATCGTACAAACTCGTGTTCAGAAAGGAGAGCTTAAAGTAGTCGATAAAGAAGGGAACGTTTCAAGGGCCGCGGCCGAAAAATTGGGCGAGTCTACTCGTAAAAGAGCCAACCCTAGCCGTGCTATTGTGGAAGAGGAAGGTCCCTCCAAGAAGGTCGTCCGGCGGCAAACACAGTCACATGTTGTATTAAAAGAAATTTGTCCAGATCAACTAGCAATGAAAAACGTCCCCCTTGGCAGTGGCAGTTTCGGTTCATGCTACCTGGCAGCATACAGGGGCATCGATGTGGTTGTAAAAGAGTTTCGTTTGAGGTACTATAACAACGGTAGTAAAAAGGAAGCAGAGACGAGAGTGCGAGAGGAGCTCATTTACGAGGCGCGCATCATGACCAAACTCGGCGATCATCCCGGTCTTCCGCTTTTATTTGGCGTTTGCTCAGAGCGGGCACCCTATCGCATAATTATGCAGTTTCATGGGTCCCAGGACGGCAGTTCCATGACCATAGTAAATGTTCTTGCCAAGAAACAAATAACTGACAAGGCAACTTGGACAAGGGTAATTTGCAAGACGGCGGTGGCTTTATCTCGAATCCATGAAAAGGGGTTTTTGCACAATGACCTGAAATCAAATAATGT